TGCCTTGTGTAAAGCTAATGGGTGCCAGCAAACACTAGAGAAGAGGGAGGAAAACAACAACATTCCCAGCCAGCAAGCAGAAAAAAATAGCAGATTTTTATACCACCTTGAAACAAGTAGCATACCAGTATAAAGAAAGACGGCGTCAAGACTGCTTTAAAAATGAACATGCAGATTCGGCCAGGATTCTGGACTAGATGGACCACTGGTCTGATCCAGCAGGGCTCTTCTTGTGTTCTAAAGTGCTATGGTTGCCAGCAGGGCTCTTTTTGTAGAAAAAGCCCAGCAGGAACTCATTAGCATAATAGGCCACACCCAACAGCAGGAACTCATTAGCCTATTGGGCCACACCCCTGACAGCACAGCTCATTAGCACATTAGGCCGCACCCACATGTTACCAGAAGTGTGCTCATCCAGCCACACCCACCTTTTGCTTGTTATTCTGTTTACCTTGTTTGTTGTCAAAACACAGAGATTTTTTGTAGCAGGAACTCCTTTGCATGTTAGGCCACACACCCCTAATGTAGCCAATCCTAATGAGTTTCTGCTGTTGGGTGTGGCCTATTATGCTAATGAGTTCCTGCTGGGCATGGCCAACTTGGGAGCCAGCCGGAACTCCATTCCTGTGCGTTCCTGCCCAAAAATAGCCCTGGTTGCCAGTCTCCAGATGGTGGCTGGAGACCACCAGGAATTACTATAACTGGTCTCCAGGTAAAAGAGATCAGCTCCCCTGTAGAAAATGGCTGCTTTGGGAGGTGTACTGTATGGCATGGTACCCTGCTGAGGCCCCTCCCCTCCCCAAACCCCGCCCTCCCCAGGCTCCACTCCCAAAGTCTCCAGGTATTTCCCCACCCAGACCTGGTAACCCTAAGAAGCGCTCGTCATGTTTTTGCTTACATAAGTTGAAGGGTATGAATATATGCATTGGGGCTTCGGAGTTGAGAAGGGTTAGAATGGGGATTTAGGAAGATCCTCCAGGTTCTCCAAAGAACGGGTCCCAGCCACTTGCAAAGGAACTGAACAGGTTTCTTTACATATTGTACAACTTGGGCCCAGAGGCCATAACTGCAGTGACTCCAGCAGCCATTTTTAAGAACCACGGACCACCTTCTTCTTTGCACACACGGCAAGGAGGCAGATGGCCTCTTCTCCAAACATTAACTCAACTGCCTCATCCTTTGTGACCTGACCCGGATAGGCCAGGCGAGCCCAATCTCCTCAGATCTCAGAAGCTAAACTGGGTTGGCCCTGGTCAGTACTTGGATGGGAGACCGCCAAGGAATACCAGGGTCGTGACGCAGAGGCAGGCAAGGGCAAACCGCCTCTGAATGTCTCTTGCCTTGGAAGCCCTATGAGGTCACCATAACTCAGCTATGACTAGAGATGTAAAATTTCCCGAAATTTTGAAGCTCGGAAAAAAAACCGGGTTTTTTTCTGTTTTTTTTTTCTGGGGAAAACGGAAATGTTTGGAAAAATTGAAAAAAATGCTACATTAGCATTTCTTTTGTCTTTTCTAGATTGAAAGTCATTCTGTTACTTTAGGAACATAAAATATGACTATGGACATTTTTACTTGGCATGAAATTATCACAACTAGCATATTAAAAATATAGTGTATCCAAACAATTATTACAAACAGAATACCCAACCACATGCAAAAACAAAACTGAAACTTTTTTATTTTCTTCTGACAATTGCACCTCCTAAAGGAAGAAATGCATCTTGTTCTTGCATTGGAGAGTTCACTTTGTAACCTAGGACTTGCTTGTCCTCAGTGCACGGAAATTAGATCAATCTGATACCATATATATATATATATTAGAAATGATTTGGAAAATATTTGAACACCTTGTCTTAAAATATTTTATTCATCATGTTAAAATAAAACGTTCCATAATCAATTTTTTTTCTTTTCTTTTCTTTTTTCAATTTTTCCAATTTTGGGGGGGGGAAAAACAAAAAAGGCTTCAGGAAAAAAACGGGGAAAAAACGTTTTTCCCCGAATTTTTCCGGGTTTTTTCCGGGCCTTCACATCTCTAGCTGTGACATGATGGCAAAAAAAAAAAATCATCTTTTGCAACACTTTACCACAAGAAGAAAACAGTTTTGAACTCGAAAAATGCAAACTTCTACGGTAAAAAATATACCAGCTTTTGAATTACAAAAACTTCTACACAGCTCAGACTAGGAAAGCCACTCAGATGAGTAGAGCAGTCCAAGGATGTGACTTCTGCTGACCTCTGAGTCCTGAGGTGGAAACTAGGAGAAGGTAGGATGTCCGAGCAGTGACAGAGAGAGAAGCATCTGCTGCTGAAGACAGTGCAGATTTAAGAACAAAATGTGGTAGATCCTGTGCAGAGCCCCAGTTCTCATGGCCCTGTCTGCATACCATAGAAACTGGGGGAATTCTCTGAGTGCTGCTCAAGGAAGTGACGACACTCCTTAGTCTTCACCTGGAAGTGACATTGCTGCATGGTGCAACGCCTTCTCCCTCCCCATTTTTGCTCCCGTTGCTACATTAAGCAGTGGCAAGGGGACAAGAGCACGGGGGTGGGCAACCCAGCCACCCTACAAGGAAATAACACTTAGCAGAGGAAAGAAGGTAGAGACCTCCCATCCCTGACGTTTTCCACACAAACAGGTCTCCTCGCTCCTGCATTTGTATTCCTCCAAAGCTTTTTCTCATTTCCGCAGAGGTATTTGCAGTCCAAGGAGAGAAAAAAACAGTTTGCTCCCTCGTGTGATGCAGCAAGGGAATTCCCGGAAACAGGGGAGTCTGTTTACCATCTAGGAACCCCAATCTGAAAAACCTCATCTGTTGAGGCACTAATTAGCACATAGGAATATTGGTATATTTTTATCTGATGTATTTTAACTGTTTTTGATCAAAGTTTATAAGATTATCCATGGGATACAGCAGGTAGAGAAAGAAGTACTTTTCTCCCTTTCTCACAATACAAGAACTCGTGGGCATAGGGTTGCCAAGTCGACTCACCCCTCGGAGCGGGGGAGCCGAGCCGGGGTCCGGGAGTTCGGGATGGGCGCGCATGCGCGCCGGCAGCACGTCACAGGAAGTGACGTGCTGCGTGCTCACGTTGGGGGCGTGGCCCACATCGTCAGGGGGGAAACCATATGGTTTCCCCCCCAACTATGTGGGCCACGCCCCCAACGTGAGCACGCAGCACGTCACTTCCTGTGATGTGCTGCCGGCGCGCATGCGCGCCCATCGCAAACTCCCGGACCCCGGCTTGGCTTCCCCGCTCCGAGGGGTGAGTCGACTTGGCAACCCTATGCCCACGAGTTCTTGTATTGTGAGAAAGGGAGAAAAGTACTTCTTTCTCTACCTGCTGTATCCCATGGATAATCTTATAAACTTTGATCAAAAACAGTTAAAATACATCAGATAAAAATATACCAATATTCCTATGTGCTAATTAGTGCCTCAACAGATGAGGTTTTTCAGATTGGGGTTCCTAGATGGTAAACAGACTCCCCTGTTTCCGGGAATTCCCTTGCTGCATCACACGAGGGAGCAAACTGTTTTTTTCTCTCCTTGGACTGCAAATACCTCTGCGGAAATGAGAAAAAGCTTGTGGCGGCTACAAGCATGGACGGCTTCAAAAGGGAATTAGATAAGCATATGGAGCAGAGGTCCATCAGTGGCTCTTAGCCACAACGTATAGATAGGGGCTCTGGGGCAAGTGATGCTCTGTCTTCTTGGTGCTTGGGGGGGTCAACAGTGGGAGGGCTTCTAATGTCCTGGCTCCACTGGTGGACCTCCTGAGGGCTTCTGGTATTTTTGGCCACTGTGTGAAGAGTGTTGGACTAGATGGGCCATTGACCTGATCCAACATTGGCTTCTCTTATGTTCTTATGTTCTTTGTATGTGGTAATTGATGGAAAAGAACCCGAGCCTGCTATGTGTGGAGGGCGGGATACATATCTAATAAAAATAAAATAAAATATACCACAAAATTGATTTTGACAGCAAGGGCATGAAAGTGACATTTTGGTTCTGGAAAACAGACGACAGCGTGCTAAAGGCCTGAAAAGAAAGAAATGCTAAAGGAAGGCATTAAATCCTTAAAATGCATCGATCGATGTTGTGTAGATTTAAAGTACAGTGAAGGTTTGCTAATGCAGACCAGAAACGTGTATGCTTCCTTGTCAAACTGCTCCTTGGGATTAATACCGCTTCTTGCCGAAATCCCAGCACAAAACAATCTCATGAGTTATCTGTCTACATCTATATACTCCTGCGTGTAATCTAAATGGCAGTAAAGTGCTTGTTGCTGCCGGCTGGTGGCCCACGTGACTTCAATTGTATCAAGTAACTATTGCCAGTTTTAAAAATAAGCAGGGTCAGAGCCCTAACGAGAATATAATTGGACCGTGCAAACAGGAGGACCATGCAAATAATGCACGCTATAAAATCCTGCTGATCTGGATGAGAAGGTTTGGGATGAGGATTAGCCGTGGATCCAGCACAATGGAAGGGCTGCGGGGCTCCGCTTTTGAGAAGTTGCAGGTCTTGGGGGACGTGGGATCTGAGCGCTGGGGGAAGGTTCAGGCCCCTGCGGACAAATACTATAAATTGCTGGTCAAAGGAGATCTGAAGAGGCTCAAAGCCTGGATAGATCAGCACTACGAAGATGTCAACATGACCTTTGAGATCAATAAAAACGAGCTGGAATGGCAGGTGAAAAGCCACGCTGCGTTTGGGTTGTCAGGTAAGGCGAGATTTCAAAGACCACGTTCCGATGGAAACAGGTGTTTACCAGTCCCAGTTTAAGATAGTAATTAAGTGGCCTTTTTTCCCAAACCTCAGGCTGATTCAGGTACCCTCGGCTGTGTGCACCATCAACGTTGCCCCGTTGGCAGCTATCCTGAGAGACCAACCAGAACAGCCTGGGTGGGCCATAGGAGAAGACACAGTTGCAGTAGGGAATGTGCCTCTCAGGCAGGGCTGCCAGCTCCGATTTGGGAAATACCTGGAGATTTAGGGGAGGGGGGCAATGCTCCCTGTAAGCTGTGGAGTCTTGCGCGCAAAAATTCTACTTTGTGAGTTGCTGGCATTAAAGTTGTGAGCGAGCAGTTTGGCTGCTGCCTACATTAGTTTGCTCTGGGGCCATCCTTCCTGAGCTAAGACAAAAATGTGTGAGCCGGAGGCTAAAAAAAACTGTGAGCTAGCTCACACTAACTCAGCTTAGGGGGAACGCTTAGAATGAACAAAAATGTGTGAGCCGGAGGCTAAAAAAACTGTGAGCTAGCTCACACTAACTCAGCTTAGAGGGAACGCTTAGAGTGAACTGATCTCTATCACCTGGAGATCAGTTGTAATAGCGGGAGATCTCCAGCCGCCACCTGGAGGTTGGCAGGCCCTCTCTCAGGGCCAGCATCAGCATACTCCGAGATGGGGCGGCTGCTGGGGCCCAGGGCTTCTGGTGGGGCTTCCTGCTGCTGGTTGGCATGCCTTTCCCCTCCCTGCTTGCTAGAGAGGACTTCGTCATGCATGCTCCCACAGCCATAACCACTGTCCAGTATAGCCAGGGCAGTACAGGCTTCTGTGAACATAGGCGGTGAGAGGAGATGCGCGAGGGCGGGGGGAGGATGCGCAGGCACATGGGCTGGTGGGTGCAAAGGGAGGCACGAGCAGAGGAGGTCTCTGGGTACTTTCTCTCCAGGGCCCCCCAAAATCTGCCTTGCCGCTTCTCACCTCAGTGCTGCTGGCCAGTTCCCGGGAAAGAGCAAGAGGTGTCATGTCCATCTGGACTAACTACCGCATGAGAACTTACTCAAAGGAGTTCAGGGTTGTTCTCTTGGTGGGGAGGATTACAGAAGGCCTCCCCAGCCCGGAAATGGGGGCAGTCTGGGCCCAGGGCCCCTGATGAAGCCTCAGATATGGGGAAAGGGATTGACAGCACCCAGCAGTTCTCGTCCAGTTTAGCTTCCATGCACTCAGCTGAGCTCTGGGGGGAGTCTTCCTTCAAAGTAGGGTTGCCAGCCTCCAGGTGGGGCCTGGAGATCTCCCAGAATTACAACTGATCTCTAGAAGATGATGGAGATCGATTCCCCTGGAGAAAAGGGCTCCTTTGGAGGGAAGCCTGTAAGGGCATTATACCCTGCTGAGATCCCTCCTCAAACTCCACCCTCCCCAGGTTTCACCCCCAAATCTCCAGGAATTTCCCAACCCAAAATATGGGAACCCTCTTTGCGCTGCCACCGTTGCTCCTTAAATACTGCTTCACGGTCGCCACCACCTTCCTTCCTAGATCCCTCATGGCTGCCATGGCTGTTTTTCAAGAGAAGGGAATGCTTGGTGTAGTGGTATAGTGGTTAAGTGCAGTTTCTGTCAGAGCTCTCTCAGCCCCACCTACCTCACAGAGTGTCTGTTGTGGGGAGGGGAAGGGAAAGGAGTTTGTAAGCCGCTCTGAGACTCCCTTGGGTAGTGAAGGGCAGGGTATAAATCCAATCTCGTCTCTTCTTCTTCTTCCCTGCCTCTTGGCCGTGGGCTGTTGTTCTTCTAGTGTGGCTCCTTCATCCCCTGTGACAGGCAGGTTCAGATGGTCTCTGCTGATTTTGCAGCGGGGCTGCTGCTATATCTGTTCTCCATGACTCACAGCTTTCGTGGTGGGGATTTACCTGCTGCCCCCAACCCGAATTTCCAACCCCCAAGGAACTGAGGAGCAGGAGGAAAACATGGCCTCTACATGGTGATGTTATAGGAATTTCCCTTAGTCTCAACCAGTGTTCCCTCTAAGCCGAGTTAGGGTGAGCTGGCTCACAGTTTTTTAGCCTCCGGCTCACACATTTTTGTCTTAGCTCAGGAAGGATGGCACCAGAGCAAACTCATTGATGCAGTAGCCAAATCGCTCGCTCACAACTTTAATGCCAGTAGCTCACCAAGTAGGATTTTTGCTCACAAGTCTCCACAGCTTAGAGGGAACACTGGTCTCAACAATAGACCATATAGTTTATGGGAGGCTTTACCCGGAAGTGGTATCATATTCTGCCCAAACTCCATCCACCCCAGAGGTTTGTTCTGAGGGTGTTGCCTTGAAGCGCCTACAGGAAAGAACTCTAGTGCTGCAAGACACACTCCTAAGCTAGCTTGTAAAACAGCCTGTATCATAAGGTGTGCCATATTGCCAGGTCTGAGGGGGAAACTGCTGTAAATGAGCAAGTGACAGGCCTGTACATAGTGGGGTTTATGGTCAGTCATAAAACCAAAAATAGATTTAGCCCAGGGGTCGTTTCGTAGAAAAAGAGCTAGGGGAACTCATTAGCATAACTCATTAGCATATGCCACACCCCTGACATCACGCCCATGACCCCTAATGGGTCTCAGAGCGGTTTACATTAGACTACGTCTGTAGTCGAATCCTAACTAGGGCCACAATTTGTGCGGGGAGGGGTTACCTAGCAGCACCCTCACCGTGCACAGCTTCACAGGGTCCATGTCACTTATTATGGCTTAGTCCAGAGGAAGCTAGGGAGATTCTACTTTCCTCTTCCCCCTCTTTTGACTACCACCCACACTGTAGCTGCAGGGGGGCATGTCAGGGCAATGCCTGCTAAGAAATATGTCATCCCCTTTCTCTGAACTCTCGGCTTTCATTTAAAAAGTTCATAGCCCTTTTCATTGTGAAGATATAAGGGGAAATGTGGACACAATATATCTTCTTATTGCCTGAGAAGGAACAGAAGAGAGAGAGGAAACTGGAAGCCTGCCAGAGCGAAGTCAGTTAATCTCTTCCTTATCAAAATCATTGTCTTGCTCTGTCCTAGGGCCTTTTCTTCCCAGCTCTTTTGTTTTTTTTCATGTTTGATCTTCGTTAATGTCCATACTGAAAACTGAGAACACTGGGCATAAAACTAGAGCTAAAATTATATTATTTGCAATGGGGCATTTGCCTCAAGAATAAAGTAGGACTGGGGGAGGGGACAGAAAAATGAATGTGAGGACTCACTCTGTCTGGAATCTATTTTTACTCATGAATTGAAAATGACCTTTCTGCAACTTGCCTGTGTAATAGAATATGTACCTTTGAGCATGTACAGAGTGCTTTTTACTCACCAACAAATAGGGTCACTGTAATGTTTCTGGACTTTTCTGAGTCTCCTTATACATAACACCTATAACACTAGAGGTAACGTGTGTTATGTTGCCTCCTTCACTTCCTTAGCATTTCCTTCTTATTTTTGCTACCACCAAAGGCTCTTGCCTTAGTTGGACCTAAAGAATAGGATGACTTAGTTATAATTGGTAGGATGACAGAACGGTCAGCACATAGGGGTGGCTCTGAAGAAAAAGAAAATCCTTTACTCTAAAGAAAACAATTATTTTCTTGTAAACAAAAATAGACTTTATTTAGAAGTGTAACAGTTTCAGATAGGTACATAAGTGCAGGGGTAGTTTCATAGAAAAAGAGCTAGGAGAACTCATTAGCATAACTCATTAGCATAACTCATTAGCATATGCCACAGCCCCTGACATCAGGGGCTCGGCGGTGGACCTGCAAGGCCGGCGGGAGTGCAAGGAAGCCCCGCGAAGGCCCTCCCTGGCCCCAGGCAGGCAGGGGTGGGGAGAGGCAGGGAGGAAGCAACTTACCCTCCCTCTTCTCCTGCCTCCTCCTGGCTGAATGAGGGCCGGAAGCGGGGCAGCCGGAAGCAGGGGGCGGGGCTTCATCATGTGCCCCGCCCCCTGCACCTCACCCGGCCGAACTGCAATCCCCCCCAAATCGACCTCTGCATAAGCGTAATGGTTTCAGATAGGTACTGGTCTTCTTTCTCTAAAGTTCCTTTAGACCTAGCCACAAAGACTCATTTTGTCACTTGCCACTGTAGGCTAATAACCTGCACAAAGCTTAATTTCCTAACTTGTCACTGTAGGCTACTAACTTCCACAAAGCTTAATTCCCTAACTTGCCACTGTAGGCTACTAACTTCCACAAAGCTTAATTTCCTAACTTGCCACTTAGGCTAATAACTTCCAAAAGGAACACACTTCAATCACCCATCCAACCCCCTTCTTTCTTACTCTAGAGGCCTACATTTTAAACCACAGCAACACACATCTAAAATCCCATGTTACAACACAGAAATAAAGCACGCACAAAATATTTATGTAGTAAATCATCACAGGTTACCAACCTTAAGATCGGTTTGCTAGCTCCAGGTTGGGAAATTCCTGGAGATTGGGGGGTGGCGCATAAAAAGAGTGGAATTTGGGGAGGAAAGGCACCTCCACAGGGTATAATGATCCACCTTCCAAAGCCATCCCCCCCCTCCGGGGAACTACTCTCTATAGCCCATAGACAGAATGCCACAAGATCTCCAGCCAGCACCTGGAGGTTGGAAACCCTAACTCGTATGACTTGAAATACTGGAATTATAACTGATTCCCAGATTACAGAGATCAATTTCCCTGGAGGGTAGACTAAATGGCATTGACTCTGCCCTCACCTGGCACAACCCCCGGAATCCCACAAAATCCCAGGTGACAACTGCCAGTAAATAACAACAGTCAAGCTCCTATCCTCACCTGCTCCAAGACCAGAAATTAGTGGTAAAGGACTAAAAAGGGCATGATGCTTGCACATGCATGTTTATAGCACAGAACCTCTCAATACAGAAAAAGAAGGGGGCATTAAAAGAATCTTAAGCGGCCCCCATAGCTATGAAGGAATTAGGTTTGTAAGAGGATCTAAATAAATCTGAGCCAGAGATA